GGCTGACTTTATTAGTGTTAGGGTCCCTCTGTATTCCGTGGGTTTGGCTGAAGCCTTCCCCAGATGGTTGTACTCCTCGGGCTGGATTCGTGTACTTTCCTCTGTAGTACTGGGGCACAGCTTTCCCTCTGTGACTAATTGCACATGCTCAGGACTTTTCTGCTGGCTGCGGGTAGAAATGGTGGTACTTGTCTTTCCTGAGGTGAAGGAGGGGAGTGCTTTATGTCCTTCTCTCATGGGTGACCCTGAATAGGGTCTCCCACGGTGCCTAGTTGTGGGCAGGGGGCCAGTTGTTTCCCACTGTGTTGCCTGTTTGATGTATTTTTCTTGCCATGGATGATGAATGGTACCCATGGCTCTTCTGCTGCCCTGAGTTTTAGATACTCTTGGCCTCAGGTCTTAGTGAGATTCCATAGCACTCACTCACAGCATCTTGGCTTCCCTGTGCCCCTTCCCAAGTGTGTGGCTTGTGAACTCCTCTAGCCAATCTGCACCACCTTAATTAGACTAGACTTTGTTCTGTTTAGCTCTCACCCTGTATTCTTTGTTCAGGGTGTTGCTGTCCGCTTCCCAGGATGGCTGCAGTGAGCCAAGTCCTCTGGATGCCTGCAGCCAAAAACTCCCGGCTTCTCTGCTGACCCCAGTCCTCAGCTCTCGAACACTTCACCTGCCATCTGAAGCTCTGAGATTTCAGTCTGTGCCTGTTTTTATTCATTGTTCAGTGGGTCAGTTGCAGGCAGATAAACAGGAGCAACTGTTTAGTCTGCCATCTTGCCCTGCCCCCCTCAGCATGTGCCCTTATGCTTTTATTTCTCTTCAATAAATGCTTTAGGAATAGAATTGCTCAGTCTTCGGTAAGTGTAAGGAGCCCTTGTGGCGCAGTGGTTGAGTACCCTGCCACTAACTGGAAAGTTGAGGGTTGAATTCACCAGCCACTTCGTGAGAGAAAGATGTGGCAGTCTGCTTCCGTAAAGATAACAGCCTTGGAAACCCTATGGGGTAGTTCTACTTTGTCTTAATAGGGTCACTCTGAGTTGGAATCGACTCAATGGCAACAGGTATGCTGAGTGTATGATTTACTGTAGAGAAAACTGCCATATTTTTTACCATTTATATTCTCACTAGCTATGTATGAGAGTGGCAGTTGTTCCATAATGTTACCAATTTTTGGTATTGTCATTTTCTTTAAATTTTAGTTATTCTGGTGGGTATGTAAGGAGCCCTGGTGGCACAATGGTTAAGTGCTTGACTGCTAACATAAAAGTTGGTGGTTCAAACCCACCCACTGGCTGCATGGGAGAAAGAGCTGGCAATATAATTCCATAAAGATTACATTCAAGAAAACCCTATGGGGCAGTTCTCCTTTTTCACATGCGGTTGCTATGAGGTGGTATTGACTTGACAGCACGCAACAACAGTGAGTATGTAGTGGTAGCTTGTTTTAATTTGCCAAGTGTCTGATTTAGTCATTTCCCTGTTGACTAATGATGTTGAACATCTTTTCATGTGTTATTTTCTGTCTGTATATAAAATCATTATCCCATTAAAAAATTGGTTTGTCTTGCTTAATTGTATGGATTCTTTATGTATTCCAGATATAAGTCTTTTAACAGATAAAAGTGTTTTGCAAAATTTGTCTCCCCGCCTGTGCCTTGTTTTTTAAAAACTAAAGCTTTTACTTGAGAATGGTCTTAGTTTACAGAGCAGTTACAAAGGTAGTACAGAGAGTTCTCATATAGCTTGCATCCAGTTTCTCTTATTACTGACATCTTACATTAGCATATGGTGCATTTATTACATTTAATCAATCAATACTGATACATTAAACTGAAGTCTGTATTTGAGGTCCCTGGGTGGTGCAAACTGTTCACGCTTATCTACTAACCAAAAGGTTGGTGGTTTGAACCCACCCAGTGGCACAGCAGAAGAAAGCCCTGACAGTCTACTGTAAAGATTACGGCTGAGAAAACTTTATGGGTCTCATTTCCACTTTGTAATACATGGGGTTGCCGTGAGTCGGAATTGACTCTATGGCAATGAGTTTTTTGGTGTTATATTCAGATTTCCTTCGTTCCACATTTCCATCCGTGATACCACATTATGTTCAGTCATCATGTCTGTTTAGGCTCCTCTTGACTGTGGCAGTTTTTCACACTTGCCTCGTTTCTGACGACTCTGACAGTTTTGAGGCTATTAGTCAGGTATTTTGTAGAATGTCCCTCAATTGCAATTTGTCCATTTTTCTTATCATTAGAATGAGGTTATGAGTTTTGGGAGGAAGACCACAGAGTAAAGTGCCATTCTCATCACATCATATCAAAGGTACATGCTATCAATCTGAATTATCATTGTTGTTGACCTTCTTCACCTGGCATAGGTAATGTTTGTCAGGTTTCTTCATTGTAAAGTTACTCCTTCTTCTTCCCTATACAAACTGTATTCTTTGGAAGGAAGTGCCTGTATACAGCCCACATTTAAACAGTGGTCTTTAATCCATCCTGAGTTAATTTTGGTGTGTGGTGTAAGGTGGGGATCCAACCTCATTTTTGTGCATGTGGATATCTAGTTGTCTTGGCACCATTTGTTGAAAACACTGTTCTTTCACCAGTGAATTGTCTTGGCACTCTTGTTGAGTTGACCATAAATGTAAGAGTTTATTTCTGGAGTCTCAATTCTGTTGCATTGGTCTATATGTCTGTCCTTATCTGTATGTCTATACCATACTGTCTTGATTACAGTAGCTTTGTAGTAAGTTTTAAACATTTCATATGTACCACTAAACACTGAGACTTGTGGGAGGGGCAAAAAAAAATTCATGCTACCTACCCAAAATTCAGAAACACTCAATGATTCAGCATGCTTCCATTAATGAAAATACATGACATCAACACAAATTCAAAGCAGAAAATAATTGGGTCACCGAAGGGTTAAATCAACCTTATTTTCCTGGGACAGAATGCTTCTTGTTAATCATATCTCTTTTTATATGTAATCTTTTTATATGTTGCTGTGTTCAGTTTGCTAATATTTCACTGAGGATTTCTGTGTCAGTATACACAAGCTGAAGAGCCCTAGTGATGCAATGGTTAAGTGCTCAGCTGCTAACCAAAAGGTTGGTGGTTCGAACCCACCCCATGGCTCCACAGGAGAAAGACCTAGCAATTTGCTCTTGTAAAGATTACAGCCTAAAAAACGCTATGGGGCAGTTCTACTCTGTCCCATGGGTCATTATAAGTTGAAATTGACTAGACGGCATACAACAACAATGCTTAATATTTGGAGTCCCTGGGTGGGGTAAGGAGTCCTGGTGGCACCGTGGTTAAGAGCTTGGCTGTTAACCAAAAGGTCAGCAGTTTGATTCCACCAGCCACTCCTTGGAAACCCTATGGGGCAGTTCTCTTCTGTCCTGTAGGGTTGCTATGAGTTGGAATTGACAGCAACGGGCTTTTTTTGGGCTTGGTTTGGGTAAATGGTTAAGCACTTGACTACTATCGACAGCACCTAATAACAACAACAACAACAGCATGCACAAGGTGTATTGGTTTATAGGTCCCTGGGTGGCACAGATGGTTTGTTCTTGGCTGCTAACTGAAAGTTTAGTGGTTTGAACCCACCCAATAGCACCATGGAAGAAAGGCCTGGTGATCTGCTTCCATAAAGATTATAGCCAAGAAAACATCATGGAGCTTAGTTCTAACACGTGAGGGGGCCATGAGTTGGAATCAACTCAATAGCAGTAGGTTTAATTTTTTAGTTTTATTTGTTGGTGGTGTTCTTTCCTTGTGATGTCTTTGTCTGGTTTTAAGATTAGTATCAGGGTAGTAATGGCTCCTTCCAGTGAGGTGGGAAGGGTTTTCTCCTCTTCTAATTTTTGAAAGAATTTATGAAGCATTGACATTAATTCTCCTTTAAGACTAATTTTTTTTCTTTAATTTTATTTTGTTGTTGTTGAGAATATACACAGAAAAACATACACCAATTCAGCTGTTTCAATGTGTACAATTCAGTGACACTGATTACATTCTTCTAGTTGTGCAACCATCCTCACACTCCTTTTCTGAGTTGTTCCTCCTTAATTAACGTAAACTCACTGCCACCTAAGGTTCCTATCTAATCTTTCAAGTTGCTGTTGTCATTTTGATCCCATATAGATAGTTCTTAAAAGAGCATAATGCTCAAGGCAGACATTTTTTACTTGGTTAAGGTAAACTATTGTTTGGTTTTAAGAAGACTTCGGGGGATAATTCTGGTTTAAGTTTTAAAGATTATCTAAGGGCAGTAGTTTCACGGGTACAGAAAGTCTGGAGTCCATGAGAATTTGAAATTCTTTTCTGCATTTTCCCACTTTGGATCAGGATTCTTCTATAGAATCTTTGATCATATGTTCCATAATGGTAGCCAGGAACCATCCACCTCCTCTGGTCTCATGGCAAAGGAGGCAGTTGTTCATGGAGACAATTAGCCACACATCCGTTTCCTCTTCCTATTCCTGATTTTTCTTCTTCCTCTGTTGCTCCAGGTGAATAGGGACCAATTGTTGTGCCTTGGATGGCTGCTTGCAAGTTTTTAAGACCCCAGGCACTATTCAATGAATTAGGAGGTAGAAAAGAAGTACTAAATATGTTATTAGACCAATAACTGGGATGTCCCATGAAACCATGACTCTAAACCTCCAAACCAAGGTACCAAATCCTATGAGGTTTTTGGTTGTATGTAAGCAGCCTCAGCAACTTATTCTATTTTTTTTGTTGTTGTTGTAAATATATCTATCGTACAACCTTTGCCAGTTCAAGTTTTTACAGGTGTACAACTTACTGACATTAATTACAGTAATTGACTGTGCAGCCCTACCCTTAAACAGTGCAATTTTTCCATCACCATTAACCATCCCTCCCTTTTCCCTCTCTCTCACTCCTGGTAGCCACTAATAAACTTTGATCTCTATACATTTGCCTTTTCTTAAGACTAATGATATTTTAATTTTTGTTTTTGTCTTTTAGGATTCTCCTTTTACAAATGCAGGAATGGGATCTAATCTCAATCTTTTGGGTGAGATTGAGTGTGATGCCAGCATAATGGATGGAAAATCCTTAAATTTTGGAGCAGTCGGAGCACTGAGTGGTATGTGGGCATTATAACACACACACTATTCTGTGAAAAATGATGAATATTGCCATTTCATGTTTCTTAAAGATTCAGTCAGTCTTTTTCACCATTCTTGTATGGACTACTGTTGAACACAAAGTTTTTCTCCTTTTACTAAATTTAAAAACATGAAACTTTAGCTATGAATAATTTTAAAATGAAGCAGCCTATTGCCAAGTCTTTGGTTAGAATTTCATCATTCTCTCCATCCCCTTAAGAGATTACAGACATTTAAAGCTTGATTTAGCATGTTCTATTTTTAAAATTATCTGAAATACACAGTAATATATTTTTATTGTAAAAAAAAAAAAAAAATCAAATGATGTAAGTAAAATTAACCCTTGATTCTCCTAATCTTCCCTTCCCATCCCTCTTTCCCCTGGGGGTTTAACTACTAACACACACGTTGCCGTTTAGTCGATTCTGACTCATAATGACCCTATAGGACAGAGTAGAACTGACCCATAGAGTTTCCAAGGAGCAGTTGGTGGATTCAGACCTTTTGGTTAGCAGCTGAACTCTTAACCACTGTACCACCAGGGCTCCTTAACAACTAATGTCTAGTGTATTTCTAGTATATATTCATATGATAGAGACATAATTTTGTTTTGCACATTTTTTTAAAATTGTGGTAAGATATACACAACGTAAAATTTCCCATTTTAACCATTTTCAAATGTATAATCCAGTTGCATTAATCACACTCAAATTGTTGCGCAACCGTCACCACTCTGTGTTTCCAAAATGTTTGTATCACCCCAAAGAAAAACTCTTTACTCATTTAGCAATAACTCCTTATTCTCCTCTTCCCTCAGCCCCTGATAATCACTAATCTCTTTTCTGTGTCTATGCATTTGTTTACTCTAAATATTTCATCCAATATTTGCCCTTTTGTATCTGGCTTATTTCACTTAGCATAATGTTTTCCAAGTTTCTCCATGTTGCATAGCATTTATTTAGAACTTCGGTTCTTGTTATTGTAGAATAATATTCCATTATATGTATGTACCACATTTTGTTTATCCATTCATCTGTGATGGACATTTGGTTGTTTCCACCTCTTGGTTATTGTGAATAATGCTGTTATAAATGTTCTAATACAAGTGTCTTTTTTTTTTTTAATTGTTGTAATAAAATGAAGTTTACATTTCAAGTTAGTGTCCCATACAGAATTTTTTTTTTTTTTTTACATACATTGTTATGAGACCCCAGCTGCTAACCCCATTCTGCGACAGCACACTCCTCCGCTCTGCCCCTTATTCCCCATGAGCGTTCAACCAGGTCCTAACTCTCTCTGCTTTCCCATCTCACCTCTGGACAGAAGCCACCCCTTTGGTCTCTTGTATCTACTTGACTAAGAGGCACATTCTTCACAAGTATCACTTTATGTCCCACAGTCCAGTACAATCCCTGTCTGAAGAGTTGGCCTCGGAAATTGTTTTAGTTCTCGGGTGATGGAGAGTCCAGGGGCCATGCTTTCTGGGGCGCCTCCAGTCTCAGTCAGACCATTAAGTCTGGTCTTCTTACTAGAATTTGAGTTCTGCATCCCATCGTTCTACTGCTCCAT